GTGGAGTTTTACATCGTAAGATGATGTAAAACCTCACTATATTAGTGATGTTTTACATCTATTATCAATGTAGTATTACATCGATAATCACGTTTTCCGATGCTCAATGGTTCAATGTGAACTCTATTGGTGGACTTTTACATTGATGAGGTTTTACACCGCAAACAACACATCAGCACGATGTAGGTGATTGGGTTTTGTCAAACTATAATATTGTGACTGTTCACGGGCTACAATGTTGTGTTGCCAAATATAGCCCATACCCCAAGTTGAGTTAGGCCTAGGAGGTAAGGCCCATGTGTTGGCACAACCCATTTTGTATATCTATGATTTTCAAATTTATTAATTATTATTTAAGGTTTTTTCTAATTCTATTATAATTTTTTATTTTTTTAATTTTATTGTACTATTTCATTTTAATTTATTGTAATTTTTACCAATTTCATTTTACTATTTCAGTGTGAAACTCCATTGATGGACTTTTACATCAATGAGGTTTTACACTGCAACCAACACATCGACACGATGTAGGTGATTAGGTTTTGTTGAACTATAATACTATGACTATTCACGGGCTACAATGTTGTGTTGTCCCCTATGAACACTGAGTTTTTAACTACAAAAAGGAGATAAGTCCTTAAAATAAGGAATGCCAAATGCAACCTTAATAGGAGGTCAAAGTTTGTTCTCACAAAATTGGTCCTCGCACTGTTATCACAAGACTTGCTTTGAAAACATCTTTTATATATTCATGGGAAAATGTTCCCAATGCATGACCACAACACTTGCTTTGAGAACATCCTTTTATTCATGGGAAGATATTCCGGGACAAAATCCGAATTTGCTTAGTGGACTCCAATGGCACTTTTGTATAAACGCAATGGACATACAACACAACATACTAAGCATCTCCTCATCAGCGTCTACCTTTCACATACTAAAAGATTTAAACCACGGTAAAAAGCTCTTGCTTTCTAGAACAAAACCGAATAAAATCGGCTTATCTTGCAAAAGCAATGGAGAACAGAAGTATGGAGGTACTTTTAATTGGTACTCAAAAGTTTGGAACGTCAAATGCCCCCCAAAACTAAAAGTTTTTCTTTTTCTCCTACTCATGGATAGACTTCCCTCAAGTCAAGGGAACTTTGAGAAAAAAAAGAGGTTTTAATATAGAAGACACTTGTGCTAGATGTGGTGAATTAGAAAACTGTACTCATATTTTTAATTTGTGCAACTATGCAAAACAAATATGGATGGTGGTTACTCCTAGTATCGAAGGTCCAAATGATGATGAAGTTACTTTGAGGATGTGGTGGGAGAGGATTTCAACTCATAATCATGAAAATAATTTGGAAAAAAATTGTCTTTATCTTGTGGTTCATGTGAAAAAGTAGAAATCAAAAAGTTTTTGAAAATATTGAGACTCCCCCTCCTCAGGTTCTTGAGAGAGCAAGCATTGCTTTATCTAAAAATTTGAAAGCCCAGCAGAATGATTTTGTTGAGGAAAATCACAAAAAGTGGAGACCGATCATTTGGAAATGTCCAAAAAGTAATTCAATAAAAATTAACTTTGATGCATTTTATATTGATGGAGACAAATGTGCTATGGCTTCTATTGTTAGAAATTGTAGTGGTAAAGTCTTGGATATAAAGACATATTTTTTGGGCAAGGCCACAATCAATATAACTGAAGCTTGGGCAGCTTGGGAAGCCTACAATCTTGCGCTAAATTTCAGAGATTCCCCCATAATTATAGAAGGGGACTCCAAGCTTATCATCTCTTGCCTGCGAAATGAAGTTCAGCCGCCTTGTAGCATAAAGAATATCATTGAAGATTGCTTTGCTCTGAAGGCCCAGTTCGAGAATGGTTTGAAGTATCGTCATGTCTTCTAGGAGACGAATTAGGCTTCTGATTGGATTGCCCACCAAGCCCAATCTTATACTCTAGGTTTCTTAAATTTTAACTTGAAGGATCTTCCAATTTCTTTGGGTTATATTTGTAGTAGTGATTTGTGGGGACATGCTACCCCCAGTCTTGTGTAGTTCCTTTTGGTTCTATAAAAAAAGAATAAAAATTCTAAGTTTGTTAGCTTAATGAACAGTGATATCTTGATATTTTAACTGCCCAAACAATGCAACCGTTTTTGAAAAAAAAAAAAATCTCAAACTTTCACCAATAAAAGAAAAAACACTCCCAAACACCACTTTTTGATAACCCATTTTTTGAGTTCAAATATGATATCGGAAAACTTTGAAGCCATTCAAATGGTATCATAATAGGAGTGATCAATCAGATGGTATTAATCAAAATTCAAGGGGGTGCTTTAATGGGTTAAAGCTCTTATGGTATCATAAAATTTCCCCCCATTTTATATTACAGGTTATTGGTTTCTGAAGTCGTTTTTTTTGAATTCCAAGAGACTTAGTTAAAATGGCTGAATTGAATCATTTAATGCCTTTTATAGATAAAAAGGGAAAACTTTCGAGGGTATATATATTAAAAGTCCAACTTCAGCTTCTGTAATTGACTATAGTAAGAGAAAGCTTTAAGTTCAGCCACATCGGCTGTTATGAAAAGACATTATTTTTTTTTTTGTGCTACAAGTTTAACACTGTTTTTTAGTAGAATACATTGTGCTCTTTAAATGTCATTCCACGTACAAAATTAAAAATATAAAGATTGGATAATTTTTGGAGTCCCGATTTACTCCCATTAAAACATGTTATATTGCTTCCAAAACGATATATAGCTTTACATCTCAAACATGTTAGTATGTTTTATTGAGAATAAACCTGAACTTTGATTTTTGAATGTAAAACTGGCTGTATTTATCGATCGTTCTATCTAAAAATGGAGTTCATCAAGGGAGAAAACAGATGATCATACTTATTCCAATAAGCTTCATGTCCAGAGCATCTTATTCATATGAAAAGTTCCACTCCTATCTCCTACCACAAAATCTTTTCACATCCCTACCCACAGGACACCACAGCGATGTAATGCAAAAATCTTGTAATGAAGACAAGAAAAAAAATTCCCAATGTACGGCTGTAATGTCTGGTGGGTAGGAATATGGGAAGAGTTGTAAGAAGGAAATCTGAGCTCCAAAAAATTCAGTCCTTTCTTCTTGTTACCGGAAAAATTCAGTCCATTTATCTCTTCTCACCTAACAATTTCTGTTGATAGCGAATCCACAGTGATTGCCCCCCAATAATGTTGACACACTAATAGGCATGATACACGTGGGATTTACAGCTTTCTTGGAGGATTATGGTTTGTCTTTGAGTCGATATCGTGAACATAACCATTTGAGGAGGTATTCTAATTTGAATTGTTTTCTTATTCTCATTTAAAAAGGGAAAAAAACAAAACAAAATTAGCTGGCTTGAAAATAAACCGGTTTTTTAAATAAAAATATAAAAGATATGTTCTTGATTATATGTGTTTTTTGTTTTCAAAGTTTAAGGCTGTTTTTGGTTGCAATGCAAATAAATTTGCACTGATGCAAAACTTTGGCAGTGCAAATGATTCGAGTGTAAATTCTGGCTTATTTTTGTTTTAAATTTTAGCTTTTATTTTGTTTGATTGCAGTATAAATGAAGTGAATTAAGACATGAAGCAGGATAAAATTAAACAAGAATTTGCATTTTTTTCATTTGCACTCCCATGCATTTGTACTAGTACAAATAAAATTGTACTACAGCCAAATACGGCCTAAAGCTTAGTTTGGAAGGAGTACAAATACAAATATGTAGAATGCAAAACCTTGCATTTTGTATTATTTTCTGTATATTTGTACTCCTTCCAAATTGAGCCCAAATAAAAAATGTATTCTTAAGTTTCTGGTTTAAAAAGATATTTTCATCTAGTTATTTAATATCATGTACCACGAATGAGTGTGTTATAAGATTAAACAAGTTAAAGGCTGAAAATGAAATCTTATGAAAGAACTTAGAAGTAACTCCTATAGATGATAAAATGAGAGAAAATAAATTGAGGTGGTTTGATCAAATGCATGATAAGACAATCAATAACACACTTTAGGAAAAATAATCTATTACAAGTTGAAGGGGATAGAAGAATTAGGGGCAAATGAAAAAAAGGACTTGGGTGGAAGTAATGAGAAATGATTTAAACACCCATAGTTCAACAATGGATATGACGAACATAATGGAATGGCAAACCAAGACTTATCATTTATGTAGACAACCCCATATAATTGGGACAAGGTTCAGATAATGATGCACACACATAGATATTTGTTTTATTTTATATAATATGATATATTATATATCTAAATATTCTAAAATGACACCCAATATAATGTAGTGTATATAATATTTTATATTTATAAAAATTATAATATATATTGTATACATATATTATATGTTATATAATATGAAACATAATAAATATAAAATGTAATGTTATTTAAAGGCATAGGCCCAAAGCCTGGCCCGGGCTTATATTTTAGGCCTGGAGTTTGAATGGGCCGGGCAGGTCCTGGGCCCAGCCCATGATCTAATCTTTGCTATTATTTTGAGTGTAGACGCTCCCTGAAGTGGATCCACCTGAATCATGATAGTGATACTCTCCAAATGCAACCAGTGGCGAGTAAGATGGGTGCCAGACCACAACCATCCCGAGAGCCACTATTACATCTGCGCAAAAGAAGCAACAAACAAATATCCTTTTACGTAGGATATAAACTACAAAACATAGAATACAGACGTAAAGAAAGAGTAATAAAGAGCTAGGAAAATGAGAGAGTTCTCATATTTTAGCTCCTGATTTAGAGAAAACAATTCTAAAGATATATTTGCACCCTAGATAAATCACAGAGAGATTATTTACTACTCGTTTCTCTTAGCACCAAAGTTCAACCATGTCAACCTCTATGACAGATTCAAAATGAATAACTAATATCCTTCAAACTCTGACATGAGCATTCCGCAATACAGCAGTTTGACCTCAAGAGAGATTAATTTCGATTATCTGCTAAATAGAACTTCATCAAATATTGAGTTTCATATACATGGTTGACAGAGTAGTTTCCATTACCACTCATAAGAACTTCAGTAAGGCATGTTTAAACATATATTGATGAGAGAACTTACACAATGTTTATGTATGGTATAACAAAGGAATTAAAAAAAAAAAAAAAATCAGCTCTGCCATAGGCACAGATGCAATAACTAACATAACTAGCAGTGGAGAGGATATTCCAAAAATAATAATAATGAAAATGAGAAGATCCACTCATCTGTATGTTGTCTCATAACTCGGACCCTATTTGCATTTTAGGATGGACAACATCTTGGTCAATCCATTTACGAGACTCTTCCCACAATTGGGTCTCAATTCCTAATTTCCTGAGCTCCACCATACCTCTCTCAACTGTAAGATTGAAGACAAAAACATCACCAAGTGGACAATTTACATCGTCAAGCCAACTGATCAAGTTTCTATCTATGCACAATTAAAAAGAATCGGTATATGATCCCAGCATATATCATGTGGATAATACTCTTCACCATCCATGATTACACAACTTAACCCGTATGAACACAGTCACCTTTTACAACCCTTAAAGTTCAACCTCAGTGGATAATTTACCAGTGACAACTCCAGTTTACAGTGGATGAAGATGAACATCTTATATATGACAAGCAATGTGTTTAGTTCTCTATATATTCAGTTATCAAAACACCATTATCTGCTTCTCCAGTACACTGAAATTCCAATGGACAAAGAAATCCCCCTTCTTTCATCCCCCTTCATATTTGTGCAGATGTGTGTGTCTATCTGGGTAGTATCTGTGGTACTCATAATTTATGTTTTGGCAAGCACAACTAAAGAACTAGCAAATTACCATCAACAGCATCATGTGACGTTGGTGACCGAGAACTGTGGTTGATCCAGAATTGCAAATGCTCATCTGCAATGTCCTGTTCCAGCCCATGATTTTTTGCTCTTCTCCAGAAATATGTAAGCCAAGCCTGCAAAGGCATAAAATCAAACACAGGTAAATAGATCAGGAAAAAGGGACTGAAAGGGCATATCCACTATTTGGTTTGGTCAGCCTATGATGATTTATAGTGTCAATCAGTGTAAAGGAAACTTATATGCATTTTAAACTGTGAGACTTGAACTTGACATTTTCTTCTAGTTAAAAAATACTATCCACAAATATAGAAACATTGATAGCTCTTAATGCCTTCCTGATCATGTGCGTGTGTGTGAATTCCCAGCCCAAGCCCAACCTAAGGCCTAAAATGTGGATGCTCTCTTCGAGCTGTGCTTGAGTCAAACTTGGGCAGATTGCATCCTTAAATCACCATGTGCAACAGTGCAAGAGGTTTGGGAGAATAAATCACTTTACATGAATTAAAGGTACTCTCAACTATGTTGCTGTCACTTAATTACAAGTGTTCAGATGCCCTGACTTTGTTACATTCAAATAGTTTATTCAATTTCCTATAGAACAATTTTCAAGGTTATGCAATTTGAGTACAATTTAATTAACTCTTCTTTGAATTACAAGTTTTGTACAGAATTTATAATTTTTTATTTTCTTTTTCCATGATAACATTTTAGTCATGCATATCTTCTTATTTTAAGCTTCTCTTTAATTATGAATGGGTCCATAAATTTCTAAGGGTCATTTAAAATCCCTGAAGTTTTGGGTAAACTAGAATATCAAAACATCTAAATGAAATGAGGTTCTCAGAGAAGGTATAAAGTTGTGTTTTCATCTTACTTCCAAGGTTTCTTCCTGTAATGATCTTGAAAGAAAGGAGCTTGCTCTTCATTTCTTCTTTCAACCTCATCTCCTAGGGTCTTTGTAAACATTCGAGATCCTTCTTTAGCTGATTAACTGAACACCCAACCCTATTAACAGGGTCTGGGTCCATAAACATAAGACTCAATCATAATCAGTCAATCTTGGGTCCATTTACTCAAGACCCGATAGAAAATCTGGTCCAACCCTGATCCTGTTAGCAGGTGGTCAATCAATATTCAAGTGTATGGATATTAATGTTCTAAGTTGGGAAAAAACAAATCCTTTTCCAAATTTATCTCCAACTGTTGGTCTTTTTCAATTTCTACACACTAGTTTAGTTCCAATCAATTCACAGGTCTGGTTTGGAATACCTGCCTAATATCCAGACCCAAAACTGATAAAAATAAGAATTAATGCATAACAATCAGGGCTGCAATTTTTACAGGACAAACCGAATCCTGCCAAGATTTTGCATGGGCTGGGCTTGGATTTTCAGGTTCTAGGCTAGTCCTGGACCTGGAAGTTCAGGCTTTACTCCAATTTTGTGTTTGCTTTGGGTTGAAGCCTCAGGTAGCTCAAGCCCACCCAACCTTCTAAAACATATGAACTCCAATGTATATATGTAATTTATACAAGTTTATACAATGCATTTACACTATTATGAACACTAATACAATATCTTTATGCTATGTATAAGATGGCTTACACATATGGACATACACATATCTAATGTGTGTGTGTGTTTTTTAAGTACAAATGAAGGTAGAAGTGCAAAACATGAGCAAAAAGAGCTTCAAACATAACCAATCCACCCAGGCTTGAAGCCAGCACAAGTTGTGATAGGGCTTTAGCTCAGGCTGGCCAGACTGGGCTTTGACCATGGATTGGGCTGGACCTTGGCCTTAGGTCCAGGGTCTATGGTTGGGCAATGGGTATGGGCATAGGTTAGACATAAACTCAGCCCAACCTTCTCAGGGTTCAATTCCTACACAAAATAGGTTCTGGATCTATATATGTATGACCAGGACCAAACCTGATCCATCGACACCCCTTGTATAATAGATATTTAGATTCCTCTTCGTTATGGCTTCACAATCAGATCATACTTGCTGATCTACATAGACAGCAGGCTACAGCATGACATGAAGCTAATCACTACTCTTAGTAAACCATTGGCTTATTCCTGCTCACAATCAGTCATGTTAGTGCATACTATTCATCATTTATATCAAAATGAATCTACTAATTTATTTGGTTTCTGACAGGGTTAATGGCACAACTGTGAGATTACTGATAAACAATCAGGAACAAGAAAGACAGGAATTTGTATAATATTCTTTTACTATAACAGAATTGCTAGACCAGGAATTAACCGGAGGACTAAAACACTAGATGCTATGTTTTACATCCCTTGTGACAACAATTAAGTTCACAAATCATGGACATGAGAACCAAAAAGGAAATATTTACAGTTAATTGATGAAATACACTTTCTTTAACAAAAGAAAATAGACAAAAAAAAACTTCTACTATGAGTTTTGTGTAAAGAAATATGAACAAGAATAACTTTTCCAAGGAAATACAATGATACCTGCTTGAAAATCACATCTTCAGACTCCTCCTGGCTCAACTCTGAAACCAAACATTGTTTTGAATTCAACATTCATCAAAGTAAAGGATCAGAAGGATCCATGTAGCAATATTTAATAGAGATCTATCTAAATTTGTCATAGCAGGAAACCTCAAGCAATGAAATGAACACATAAGATGTGGCAATCAAGCTAAAGTTCCAAAAAATAACATGTCATTTTCCTGCTCCCTCCTCAGTTTTGTGTAAGGGCATTTTTGTCCTTTTATATATATATTTCTATTAGGGCACCTAGTCTTCTTCTTCTTCTTCTTCTTCTTCTTCTTCTTCTTCTTCTTCTTCTTCTATATCACAGAATATCTTGTAACTTGGTATCAGAGCACCTTAAAGATCAAGGAAATAATCTGCTGCTGGTCGTGACTCACAGACAGACCTGCTGACATCAGCATGCTAGCGGTTGACATCAGCAGTCCATACATTTGGAAGCAGCACTTTGTATTTCTGATGCACGTTGATGTGCCTAGATTTTAAAGGAATTTTGGTGTAGGTTGCATGGTAGGTTGAAGCTGTTTGAGATTTTTTTTGGATTTTCCAGATAAAAATRGGTGAAAAATCCAGATCTGGAGTTTAGGGCTTGTATGCTTGTATGGTGGGTTGGATGCCTTTAAAACCTCTTGTGTTTGAATCATGGGAAGTGGTCCCCAATTTTTTGGAGCCTCAAAATATTCATAAGAATTTTTTTCCTCCATTGTTTTGCCGCCAACATTTATTTTTCCCTTGTTCTATTGCTGCAACCCGTGTTCAACCTTGTGGGAAAGGATTTTGAGTGTTCAGCTGGTGTTGGGATACTGGTGTTGGTGAGAAAGATTGTTTTTGAGGGGTTGTGATTGATGGACTCACACAAAGATGTCCGTGTGCCTACCTAAGTCCTCTTGGGAGGTAATGATAATGCCAGAGGACAAATTACTACCGCAAAACTTGATGGAACAAATTTCCTTGAATGGTTCCAATTAGCTAAGCTTACAACTGGTGGGAGAGGTAAACTTGAGTTTATTACCAGCAAGGAAGCTAAACCAAAGCCTGAAGATCCAAATCATTCCAAATGGGAGCAAGATAATCTGCTAGTCATGTCATACTGAAACCTTTGCCTATTTCCAGGGGGATAAAAAGATACAAGAATACTATTCGAGCTTTATTGATCTCTGGGCTGAATATGAACTTGTTCATACTGAACCTTCTGATCCCGTTGAATGTGTCAAGTGTTTGCAGAAACATATTGAAAATAGGAAAGTTAACCGGTTTCTCATGAGGCTAAGACTCGTATGAAATAATCAGGTCAAATATTTTGAGTAGAGGAACTCTTCCAGACTTAGACTTTGTGATGGGAGAGTTGTTGAGGGAAGAAACTAGACTCCTAACTGCTGCAAACATAGAAGGGAAACATCCTAATTTAGGGATTGATATTGTTTTTCTTGCACGAGGGAATAAGAAATCTGGTGGAAAAGACCCTTCTAAAACTCAATGCTATGAATGTAAAGGATATAGACATATAGCCTCTCATTGCAAAAAGAAGAATGTCTGCACATATTGCAAAAAAACATGGACATATCATTCCAGATTGCCCAATTCATCCACCCACCCAAGGGACCCATGAAGAAGAATCAACCACGAGCTTATCGGGCATGTGAGGGACCAGTGTCCAATACCCCTATTGTCAAGGGAGAATCCTCTGCTTCCATGAATAAGGAAGAGATACAACAACTGGTATCCTCTGCCATCTCATTTGCCTTTTCTGCTATTGGCTTACCTATTGAGTTCTCCGGTTATTGCTCTTCTCCCTCTCACATTTGTATAATTGATTCCAGTGCAACAAATCATATGACTGGGGCCTATCCTGAACCTTTTGTTAGAATGTTAGAGTGATGTTCGGCTGATAAGAGTTCTTATTAGCCCATTCTTATGTGTAACTTATCTTGTAACTGGGCTTGTGTTAATGGGCCTAATCCTGTTTAATGATTTAAGTCATCTGGGTGTCCCATCACTAATCAGGGGCATCCCAGTAATTTCTT